ACATCCCTGTGCTGAGCCCAGCGCTCACAGATGGCTCACTGGGGGACATGATCTTCTTCCATTCCTATAAGAACCCGGGCCTGGTCCTGGACATTGTTGAGGGTGAGGCGCTGGGGCCACAGAGGAGCAGGGGAGGAGGGCTGGCTGGGCCCACAGTCTGACCGCAGCCTTCCTCCCCAGACCTGAGGCTCATCAATACACAGGCTATCTTCGCCAAGCGCTCTGGCATGATCATCCTGGGCGGGGGTGTGGTTAAGCACCACATTGCCAATGCCAATCTCATGGTGAGTGGGGACAGCATGCCTGGTCCACAGCGGGGTGGCACTCGGGCCTGCCGTGGAGACATGCGTGTACTAGGCCTGTGCTAGAGGCCGGGGAGACCGCTGCACACTAAACAGGCCAGGACCCCTGCTCTCCAGTTGGGAAGACAGACAGCAAACAAGTGACAAGCGTATCAGGTGACAGTACCTACTATGGGCAAACAGGAATGACAAGATGGCAAGAGACAGAGGTCGTTTCCAGAAAGGGGAAGTTCTGGGAAATGTGACCTGTAAGCAGAGGTTTTGGGGAAGTACATTGTGGTTGCCTCGAGAAGAGTTCCCAGCAGAGGGAAGAGCTGGCGCAAAGGCTCTGAGGGCCCTGAAGTAATGAAGAGCGGAGGGCCAGTGAGGCAGGACAGGAGGGGGGAAGAGGCAGGGAGGAGGCAGGCAGTCAGCAGGGCCTTGAGGGCTGTGACTCGGGTGCTCACAGATGCCCTCTGGTTGCTTTTGGGGGAACAAAAGGCAGGGTTCCCTAGAGCTACGATGGGGCCAGGACCACGGTGGCGGCCATGGGGGTTGGCGGGGAGGCGGTTTGTGGTCAGTGGCAGTTCCTGCTGAGCAGATGCACAGGGCCGATCCTACCTAGGTGCGTCTGGTGCAGTTCTGCCCAGCAAGCCCTGGACCCCTCAGCGCAGGCAGTGACGTGGGGCTAGTGCAACAGGGCTTCCTTCATCGGGGACACGCTCCTCGGCCTCTCTGGCTACAGGGTCCAGCCTGTGTGTCTGTCTACTGCAACTGGCTGACTAGCCCGCCCTGTCCCTGCCCACAGCGGAATGGGGCCGACTATGCTGTCTACATCAACACGGCCCAGGAGTTTGATGGCTCCGACTCGGGTGCCCGGCCAGATGAAGCTGTCTCCTGGGGCAAGATCCGCGTGGACGCACAGCCTGTCAAGGTGAGGGCTGGCCACCCGATGGGCGCAGGGCCCCCAGGCTGGTCCACGGCTCCTGTGGCTCACCTGGGTCCCCTCTGCAGGTCTATGCTGATGCCTCCCTGGTCTTTCCCCTGCTTGTGGCTGAAACCTTTGCCCAGAAGGCAGATGCTTTCATGCCTGAGAAGAATGAAGACTGAATGGCTGTGGCCCCAAGGAGGCCTCCCGACCCCTCTATTTATTAGCTTGCAGCCCAGCCCCTGCCCCTCCTTGATCAGCATGTCCAGAATAAATGGTCTCAGGGGACCTCTGAGTCTGTGTCCGTGTCCCGAGTGATGGTGGGTCCCCTGGCTTCAGCCTGCGCCGCCTTCAGCCTCGTAAGCCTCTTGTCGCCAGCACTGCACACTGCCCCCCATGGCGGTCAACAGGCAGGGCTCCGTGGGGTGGTAGGCCAGCGACTGCACCACACTGGGACCCACAGCCAGGGCCAGCGCCAGGGCACCCTGTGGAGCGAAGGGGTGGGGGCAGCTACCAGCGCTTCTTCAGCATCTGCCCCTAACTGCTTCCCTCACACTGCAAACCGAATCGGCTCCAGACTGAACCCCTCAGCTGCACCGTCCTTCACGTGCCCTCCCCTTCTGGGTGACTTCCAGGCTACCGTGTCCTCACGAGGTGGGCAGATCATTTCTTAGTTGCCAGAGTGAGAGCTGGCTCCCGGGCCTCAAGGCCCCTCCTCCCCATCCTCTTAGGGGACTTATGTCCCCTGCCAAGCCCCAGCTCTGACCCCACTCAGTCAGAACAATCCCTCCTCAGCCTGACCGCCCCCACCAGGCTGAGACATGTCAGGACAGGGCTCAGAGACTGGGCCTAGAAGCCCTGGGGCTGCTCAGAGGTAGCTCAGGTTTCCTCAACTATAGTCCTGTCTCACCTGGGATCAGATGCTACCACTGGCTCCTCTGCCTCAGTGGCTTAGGTTGGCGTTGGCAGCCCTGCCTGACCCAGATCCTGCTGCAACCACTGCCGTCACAAAATGCTGTTTCCTGACTGTGCCGTACCTCTAAGCCTTAGCACATGCTGTTCCCTTTGCCAGGAATACCCTTCCTGCCTGGTCCTCTCACTCTGCCTTCTAGCCCCCAGCTCTAATAGCTCCCTCTTTCCGGCGTGGGAGTAACTGAGGTAAGGGCTGGGCGATGGCAGGGCAGGCAGCCCTGTGCGGAGCGGAGGTGGGGAGGCTCACCTCCACCAGGTCCCAGAAGAACACCTTCCCGTTCTCAGAGCAGCTGACCACATGGGTATCACGCTCAGTCAGGCAACAGTCCAGCTTGTATTCCTGGTTCTTATGGCCTGTGTACCTGGGGTTGGGGAGAGTGGGATCAGGGGTGTTGGGCCTCATCAAGGGTGGGAAACAGGCCCCAGGACTTCGAGGACTCACTCGCCCAGCAGCTCCCCGGTGTCCTTGTCAAGAAGCCGCAGTGTGGAGTCCAGGCTGGACACCAGGGTGCACTGCCCATCCCGGCTGAAGCAGATGCAGGTGATGGGGCCTGGGGGTGGGGCAGGTGGGTGAGGTTGGGGCTACTTTTGCTGCCCCCACCTTCCCGGCCTGCCCCACAGCCCTAGCCACACTCACTGCCTACGTAGTCTGAGAAGAGCTGCCCCATCCTCAGGTCATAGCGCCTCACCCTGCCGTCCACAGAGCTGCAAGAGGGGGTGGGTCCAGCAGAGTGCCCACTGGGGCCAATGGGTCCACAGGTCCAGGCAACCTCCATGTCCCTGAGTCCTACCACCCAGCCAGGGCCTGAGAGCAAGGCGGGGCCTGCCCTTCTTGTCACCTTCAGCCTCCTCCGGACTGGCCATGGAAAACACGCAGTGAAATGAATTCCAAAGTGGAATTCCAACGTACTGCCCTTGAGGCTCAGACCCAGGGTCAACTAGGAGCCACTCCATCTGCTTCTGATATGTACCAACTGTCCTCCCTTGGCCAGACCCTGGGGCGCGGGACAGCTGTGACCAAGCCAGGAGCACTTTCTACCAACAAGGAGCCTCATGGACTGAAGGCAGTCTAGGAGGGCCTCCCCAAGGAGGTGACATCCAACCTGGGACTGGAAATGTGAGCAGGAGCCAACCCACAGGCTGGGTCCCAAACTCCACCCATGGCGGGAATGGCACGCCCTTGCATCGTGGCCAACTAGGGCAGTCGTGCGTGGGAACTTTTTAAGTTGTCCCCTCCAAGTAGAATATCTATCCTATGTGGGCAAGACTTTTCCCTATTTTGCACATTGCTATATGCTCAGTAACTAAAAAAGTGGCACACAGAAAGTGCTCAGATACACTCTGAACAAGCAGAAGGGCACTGTGAGCAGAGGAAGAAGCACTGCAAAGGTCCTGGGCAAGAAGCATGCTTGGCAGATTTCAACGAAATGAGGCTGGGAATGAATAAATCTGGGAGGTCAGCAGGCACCAGACTTCCGGGCCTTGTGAGCTGAGGAGGGCAGATTTAATCTAAGCACAGAGGGCAGCTAAGGTCCCCCGTGGCACCTGGGAGGAGTGAGTTCCTGTCCCACTCACCCCGCCAGGACTTCATGGTCTGACACCTTCACGCTGGATACACCATCCCTGGCTTCGTCCAGTATCTGCACTGGCTCAGGCTTCCGAGAGCGGCAGTCCCAGCACCGGATGCTGGAATCAATAGAGCCTGTGAGGCCAGCATAAGGGTGAGCTCAGGTCGTGGAGTCAGAGGCAGTATCCTGGGTCCCCATGCCTAGGCCCCAGACTCACCAGACAGGATGACCGTGGCCTCTTCATTAAACTGCACCGTGTTCACCTTCTGAGAAACAGGAACTGCCACTCAGAGGAGGCTGGACTTTGGTGGTTTGGGATAAAGGCAGGGTTCCCAGTGCAGGTTAAAACATGGGCAAAGGCTAGGGATAGGGGAGCTGAAAAGTTCCGGGAGAACTGCAAGGACGTGACTTGGTGAACACCGGGCCTTGGGGGAGGGATCCTTGCACTGTAATGGGTGAGGGGGTTGTCCCTGTCACCATCTACCCGCTAATGCGGGTCCCCTCCTTTATCCACGCTCTAAGGAGGCTTGTTGTTTGCACTCACCCCCGCGTGGCCCCGGAACTTCCGCACGACCTGCCCCGATGCCACATCCCACAGCACCACGGCCTTGTCTCCACCGCCGGAGCAGAGGCTGCTGTTGTCAAAGGAGCTAGAGGGCAAAGGAGGGAAATTCAGCGCCGACCTCTGAGTCCGGCCTCGGCGTCCGGCTCCCGGCGTGGCCCCGGCTCACCCGGCCGCGTCCAGCACCTCGTAGCCGTGGCCACTGTACGTCCGCAGCAGCGTCCCCCGCAGCGGGTTCCACAGCTTCAGGGTCTTGTCGCTGCCGCACGTCAGGCAGTAATTGCCATCCACTGGGGAACAGCACGGAGGGATTACTGGGGAGGGGATCTCGGGAGGCGGGAGGAGGACGCCTTATGAAGGCCAAGGTGCTCACCGTTAAACCGCACGGCTCGCACCGCTCCCTGCCCGCAGTCCAGCGTCTTCACCCGTTTCTGTGGCAGGTCCGGGCCGCGCGGCTTGGGCTCAGGGAAAGCCATTGCTGCGGGGCCCCTTCCTGGCCTCCTTTTATCCTTCCGTACACAGGCTCAGCACCCACGGAACCTACGCGTGGGTGTAACCTTATCGTTGTCCCCCACAGTCTACTTCCTCTTTCTCAGTTCCGGTTCAACATCACGGCTTGTCGGAGGTAGCCGTGGAAATACTGAAACCTGCTTCTGCATCGTGGTTACTTTTCTGTTTTCAAGGATCATTTTTTGGCTTTTTCTAGTTCTCTGTCCACTCGCTGGAGGGAGTCCTGGTCGCTCCCGCTAGGAACAGAAGCGCGAGGGCTGCGGGTGTTACTCTAAAAGCCACCCTCGCGTTCCATGTCGGAAGCTGCAACTCCAGTAGTGGAAGAGGCACCACGTCCCACTCGCTATGTCCGCCAACAGTATGTCGGACCCACGGCGGCCGAACAAAGTGTTCAGGTGATGACCCCAGCATCATGGGAACAGGGCTTGGGTGTTGGGCAGGGGACCAGGGAAGCGCTTGTCCATCCCAGGGGCGGAGCGGAACTTGAGCACCTCTGACTCTCGAGTCGGCCGCAGGTACAAGCCCCCGCCGAGCGAGTGTAACCCGGCCCTGGACGACCCGACGCCGGACTACATGAACCTGCTGGGCATGATCTTCAGCATGTGCGGCCTCATGCTCAAGGTGGGCGGGGCCGAGTTTCCTTTGTCGTAGTTCCGCCTGTCAACGAGGCTTGGGAGCGGATTCGGAATGTCACTGAGCCAGCGCCCAGGGGGCTGGGCCTGAGCTTGCGCGGAGGAGGGGTTGGGGAAACGGTAGGCGTAGAAAGCCACAGCCTTGGGGAAGTCGAGGGTCTGGGTCAGGCGGGATATCAGTCTGAGGGTGGGGCCAGGCTATAAAGCAACTTGGAGGGGCTTCGTGGAGGAAGGGTGAGGTCCTTAAGTATGATGGTGGATGTCAAAGGCCAGTTTTCTTAACCTTGAGGGTCCCTGGTGGGGTCAGAGACGCAGGACAGGCAGTAGAACCAGAAACTGGGTACCTGGAGTAGACTATGGGGATGGAACTCAGGGATTCCTTGGGTGCAAGGTCCAAGCTGCACCAGGAATCAGGTGCCTGGGAATGTTCTTGTAGGAACTCATTGGTGTGCCTCTCACTGACCTAACCCACCATCCCTGTGTCTTTCGCCAGCTGAAGTGGTGCGCTTGGGTCGCCGTTTATTGCTCCTTCATCAGCTTCGCCAACTCCCGGAGCTCTGAGGACACTAAACAGATGATGAGTAGTTTCATGTGAGCCTGGGCGTGGAGAAGGCGGGACTCCTGAATGAGGGCAGGGGGACCCATGCCTGCCCATCCGGGACTGCCACCACTCTTCTGTTCCAGGCTGTCCATCTCTGCAGTGGTGATGTCATATCTGCAGAACCCTCAGCCCATGACGCCCCCCTGGTGATGTCAGCCTAGAGGAGTTACATCTTAAACCCCTCTGTCCACCGTTCTCCAGGCCTGGGCCTTGGCTGTTCAGCATATTGCACTCAGCTCCTGTCCTGGGCTTCCCTGGGTGAAGGAGTCTCAGGACCTCATTTCGTGGATGAAGGGAACCTGGTCCTTTCCCTGGGATCCCACTCCTGCTGGGCCGGAGAGGGGCATATCCAGGCCTACCCCTCCTGCCTTCCCTCCCCACCCTGCCTGCTGCTGGGGGAGATGCCGTCCATGTTTCTAGGTGTATCCACTCGTTTTCTTGTTGAAATCAGTTCTTAATAAAGTTTCGCCTTTTGGCTGTACCCTGGGACCTCTTCTGTGCATTGCAGATGCTCTTTCTGGTCGGGAAAGGGTTCCAGTTCCTCCTTTCAGTAAGGCCTCGGGTAGGGCCCCCAGTCCGGAGCCTTCTGGTGGGTCACTGGCTTGTCTACAAGCCTCGTGCCCTAAGTCAGCTGTCAGAGACAGGACAGTTATCCCTGGCGTCAGGCAACCCAGCAGATGGCCCTGCTGATTTATCAAGAGAAGTGGGGTAAAGGCAGGAAAGACTGAGTCCTCCCCCGCCTGCTCACTCCTCACTGAGGACGCCTGTATCTCCAAGCTAGAGGCCTCCCATTCTTAGCATTCCAAGGGCATTTCCTTTATCCAAAGTCTTTGTCCCCGTAGCACAGAACAGGACCCCCATCAGCCACCGCTCCTAGCCAAGCGAACACTCCAGCTCGTAGGCTGACCCAGCGCTTGTAGGAAAATCTGAGACCTCTGCGCGCAAGGGAACAAAGGGGCACTAGGAAGTCACACGGTGAGGCTAAAGGCATCTCTGACCCAACCGCGCCCCCAAGGTTAAGCCTCCCTGCACACCTCTGCCTCCGCTACTTCCCCTGAGCTACGGCCGCTGTCCCGTGACGCCCCCGGCTGCGCCGTAGCCACGCCCGTGTCAGCGCCCATTGGCCAGGCCGAGTTATGGGGCGGAGCGTTCTGCCAGGCGGAAGCTCCTGGGTGTGTGGAGAAGGAGCAATGAGGGCCCAAGCGCGGCCTGGTGGCGTCCGCCGCGGGGGCGCGGCGGGGCTCAGGATGATCTTCTGCGCGCTGCGGCCACCGCTCCCTCCTCTCTTTTTCCTTATTTTGTTGTTGATGGCGGCGCCCGGCGCACGGGCCGCGGGATACAAGGTGAGCATTGCCGGTAAGCGGAAGCGGGAATGTACACGAGCCAGAGCGAATCCCCGAGTAGTGTCCGGAGGGTCTGTTCTGCGGGTGCCTAGTGAATTGTTGCTAATATGACAGTGTGGTCTGAATGTGTGCTTTATGTCGTTGAGAGGTCTGACTGTGTGCGTCCGAGAATGGTAACGTCGGGACCTGCCTCTGCTTCTGGGGGTCAGCCTACCTGGACTTTGCGTGCATTTAACTGTGTAATGGGGCGTGTGTGTGTGTGGGGGGGAGCAGTTGTGTGTGTGTTGGGAGACTGGTTGGGAGCTAAGACTCGAGTCGGCCCGCCTCGAGTTGCAGTCTGGCTGGGTGACCTTGGGTACGTCACTGTGCCTCTCTGATCCTCACTGCTCTCCTCTGAAGATTGGAGATAAGTTTGCCCACCCTCCCCAGGTGGCTGTTTGGTATTTACATATGCTTAATAAACATCAGGTACTATTATCTCTCTGGAATGCGAATGAGAGCTGCCCTGAGGGGTTGTGCCAAGTGGGAGTTGCATCTGTGAGCACAACTGTCTGAGTGTCCTCCGTGGGATGGCCTGGCCCCATCCCTGAGTCACTCACCCCTAGATCAAGATTTATCTTGTGCCCCCACCCCAGCCTGCCTTTTAACTTTGGGACAAGTAACAGGGTGTGTGAATGTGTGTTTGGGGTCCTTGCAGACATGCCCCACCGTGCAGCCGGATATGCTCAACGTGCACCTGGTAGCTCACACACATGATGATGTGGGCTGGCTCAAGACTGTGGACCAGTACTTTTATGGCAGTGAGTAAAGGATGCAGACTGCTGTGGCCCCTCTGAGTCCTGCAAATCCTTTCCGGGTTCTGGACATTAGGGTGGGGGCAATGCCCAGCTGTGGCCCATGCCTAGGAATGTTCCCCTTGGCTCGTTACTTCCTGATTGCTTGACCCCTGTGCCCGCAGTCCATAATGACGTCCAGCACGCCGGTGTGCAGTACATCTTAGACTCAATCATCTCTGCCCTTCTGGAGGAGCCCACCCGCCGTTTCATCTACGTGGAGATTGCCTTCTTCTCCCGTTGGTGGCAGCGGCAGACAAACGCAACACAGGAAGCTGTGAGAGATCTGGTGCGCCAGGGTGAGCCTGCCTGGAGGAAGTGAAAGAGGAAGCCCAGGTCAGCTGCATGTGCAGACGGTTTGTGCATGTGGCTCCGCCTGCCTGGAATTTCCCTTAATTTGGGGAACTCCTAGGCATCCTTCAAGGTCCCACATCCTGTAGATCCTCAGGGGAGCCTGCCATGCAAGGGGCCCTGTGTACCATACCTGGCTACATTGGCCTGGGAGTGAGGCCTCTTTCCTAGGTGTGCAGGCAGGTCTTCTCATTGTCTGCATTGCCAACCCCGCCCCCACTCCTGGCTCTGACAACTGACCCGGCCTTTGCCCCTCCCGGCACAGGGCGCCTGGAGTTTGCAAATGGAGGCTGGGTGATGAATGATGAGGCAGCCACCCACTACGGAGCCATCATAGACCAGATGACACTTGGGCTGAACTTCCTGGAAAATACATTTGGCAATGACGGGAGCCCCCGCACGGCCTGGCACATTGACCCCTTTGGACACTCTCGCGAGCAGGCCTCGCTGTTCGCACAGGTGCTTTTCTGACACCTCTGGGACCCTCCATTTGCTCCAGCTCCTACCCCAGCCACTCAAGCCCCGCCCTCCCCTGCAAGCTCACGTAGATCGGGCCGGGTGCCCCGGCCTGCTGGCCCCCTGAGATACTATCCGTTGAGTGCGCTGTGAATCTCACTCCTTTTCTCCTCTGGCCTTGGCCCTGCTTTGAGCTGACTGACCGCGCTGCAGCTGGCTTCTCCCACTTCCCTGGCCCCATCCCTTTTGCTATGATCTGGGCTCCTCCCCAGGCTTGGTGGCAAGTGGCAAGCCTGCCCTGCTTTTCAGCTGGCTTCATGACTTGTGCCAAGCCCGTCACCTTTCCATGCTCTGAACCCCTTCCACCCTCAGGCTGCAGAAGAGGGAAGGCCTCCTTGAATCAGGCCCCCTTTCTGTGCAGGGGAAGGTGGAGGTGGGTAGTAGCGTGGGTTTCCCCCGTCCCCCACGCTGGGAAATGGGCTGCGGCCTCACATGTTTTAGAACTGTCTCTTCTACCTGTGCTCTGACCTGCCTCTCCCATGCTGAGGGGCCTGGGCGCTGGTTCATCCTGCCCTGTCCTGCTTTACCATCCCACTTCTCATCCTGCCGCGCTCCTAGATGGGCTTTGATGGCTTTTTCTTCGGGCGCCTGGATTATCAAGACAAGAAAACGAGGAAGGAAAAGCTGGAGATGGAGCAGGTGTGGCGGGCCAGCGCCAGCCTGAAGCCCCCTGCCGCAGACCTCTTTACCAGTAAGGGGGTGGGG